AAAAAAAACATATATGGTATAGGCAGCAGTAACATTTAAAAGAGTCCCCGTTAATAAAGATTATGCTGAAAATTTGTTTTAACAAAATACAAATATGGTATAGGCAGCAGACACATTTAAAATAATCTGTATTTTATTTCTAATTGTAAGTTTATTGTAAATCCATGGAAATAACAAGAAAGTATAGAAAGATGTAGTAATTAATGGGGTTCTTATTAAAAATTACATTGATCAATTTCATAATATTTTTAAGATCATTAAAATACTTAAGCACCGTTACATTCTTATGCCAGTTGGCGAGTGGGGTTTTGTCCTACATTCGTTAAAACAACGACTTCATCGAGTACAAACTGAATGTTAAACATATGAAAATTCAACCAATTTTCCAAGTTTTAAGGGGTCACGAGTCAGAATTTTGCTGTTGCCTGATTTTTGCTAAAAGAAATCGTTAGTTGATATCCTATCCTACTCTTAGAAGGTTTCTATTCACTAATCAAATTGGCCCACGTGTCACAGTCGTTATTTTACATATTTTAAATCAAGTAAATATCTGGAGCCAATTAAAGGAGCTAATATTATAAGAATCTTACACTGGCTGTCGGGACAGACCGGAATATTTAGCTCAAGGGTAACTGTTTATGGCGGTGTGATTCTTTTTCTTGCATAATACATACCAATTATTTACCGGAATATCTAGATCGAAGGTGACTGAGAACGGCGCCGAATTTCCGCTACACAGTTATTTCACCGTCCGTACCGAAAGACGGTGTTTGATTCTTTTTCTTGCATATTACATTTCAATTGTTTTTGAGAAAACTTATATCATTATTACGCACAAATTTTCTTATAGTAGCGTATGAACTCACATCTTCATTCACACCGGTAAAATGACGTCATGAACGCAATTCATTCATAAAAGGCGCGCGGCAATGGTGTCATTTAAAGCACGCGACTTGTCTTACATTGTTAAAGACTATAAGAATTTTACAGAGGCTGCCGGTACAGACCGGAATATTTAGCTCAAGTGTAACTGTTTATAGTGCCATAATGGTGGTAACGAGGCTCTGCCGAGATTCCGCTAAGCAGTTACCCGAGAGCTAGATATTCCCGTCTGTACCGACAGCCAGTGTTTGATTCTTTTTCTTGCATATTAATGTTATTTATTTTCGGAACAGGGATTACGAAATATTACGATATTTTGATTACGCACCTTTGTCTTATAGTAGCGTATGAACCTACAAACTTTATTCATAACGGAAAAATGACGTCACCCTTAGAACGCCATTCATAAAAGGCGCGCGGCAATGACGTTATTTAAAGCAAGCAACTTGTTTTAGCACCGCCGAAACGGTAGATAATCCTGTCTGATATGCAAGAATATAAGAATCTTACACTGGCTCCCGGTACAGACCGTAATATCTACATGATCTAGCTCGAGAGTAACTGTTCACGGCGGTAACAAGGCTCTGCCGAATTTCCGCTGAACAGTTAGATCTACCCGAGAGCTAGTCTGGAGTTCCTTCCCCTTATATTACGTTACGCACTTTTTTTCTTACAATAGTTTTTAAACTTAAATTCAATTATAAGGGTTTAAGTAAAGGTACCCCAAAAGGACGAAAGTTCATTCAAAAAAGGCGCCGAAATGGCGTCTTTAAAAGCACGCAAACTGTTTTTACATGGGGGGTAACGGTTTCCCTTGCCCCGTGTTAAACGGTGGGAAAATTCGTTTTTTATGAAGAAGGGTTTTTTCTTGACTTTCCCCGTCCCAATGTTAAAAAAGTTCTGTAAAGTTTTTCGATTTTGTTTTTTTCAACCCCAATGAAAGGGTATTTTATAATTTTTTTAACTTTAAAATATATTTGGGCTACTTTGAATTACAAAAAATTTTCTTTTGGAAATCTAAAAAATTAAAATTTTTTTAAACACTGAAAAGCATAAATTTTTAAAACTTTTAAATTTCCGGTTTTAAGGTTTTTAGGTAAAAAAGGAAAAAAGGGGGGAAGAGAAAAACCCTTATTTAAACAATGTTTATTTGAAAAATTAAACAAAATGTTTAAAAAATACATGTCTACCCTTTAAATGTTTTTCTTTTGTCAGAAAACTTTAAAAAAATCCCAATGTTCAGTTAAAGTAGAACAGCGACTCGACTATTCTAAAGGGGCTTGAAGAAAATAAGGGCCAAAAATTTTAAAGGGAACATTCAAAAAGACAAAGTTTTCATAAAAACAAATTTAAACTTTATTTCGGGTTTTTGGGAAATGTTTTTTAATGATTAATCGGGAATTTTTAATTTAAAAGATAGATTTTTAAATTTAAAAAATAATAAAAAAGCTTTTTTGTTCAAAAAGGTTTTTTTCAAAAAAACCCCAAAAAATTTAAAGGGGTTTTCCGGACGTGATCAAAACTTCAAGAAAAATTTTAAAGTTTTAGGCATTTATTTTGTTTTTAAGGGAGGTATAACTTTTTAAAAGAAGTTTATCCCCTATTTTTCCCAAAAGGTTTCCCAATTTACAGGTGGTATGATGTACCTTATTAACTGAAAAATTTGAGCAAACAAAAAAGCAAAATCTTTAAATCTCCTGAAAAAAATCTTTAGACTAAAAATTTTAAAATAATTTCATTTTTCTAAAAAAAACTACCCCTTTTTTCCCGAATAAAAATTTGTAAAAAAATTTGAAATAAGGTGAACCCCCAAATTGTCTTCATTTTTTAAAGGGAAAATTTGTAAAATTAAAAGTATATTTTAACAATTTTTATTTTTTGATTTTTTTATTTTACGAAATTTTTAAATATAAGGCAAAAATTTAACCCTCTTGTATGAGTCCGGGCAGTACATGAGATGTTATCCCTTTTTTATAATAAAAAATAATTTTTTAAAAACTTTTCACTGAACTTTTTCATATTTATCCCCAAATTTACATTTAAATTGTTGAAAATTGTTGAACTTTTTACCTACTGTTCGTAGTATTTTTTATTTTTAAAAATAACTGATACTTTCCCCATACCAAAGTACACAGACAGTTTATTTATCTTAACAATTAACTGAATGTGTTGTATTGTTAAACTTATACCATACTAAAGAACACAGTTTATTTAGCTTAACAATTAACGGATAAACTTGTACCATACTAAAGTCACAGTTTATTTAGCTTAACAATTTACTGAAAAACTTGTACCATGCTAAAATACACAGTCAGTATCTTTATCTGAACAATTAACAAAAACAAAACAAAAGAAATATAAAAATAGAATCTGAATTATGTAATAGTATTGCTTTGTAAAAGACAGTCAAGGAAATGTAGATTAATCAAATGAAATAACCAAAAACTTGTATACATATTTATCTTCCAATGAAATTATCACTTATTATTGTACAAAGTTATCTTCAAATGAAATTATCACTTGTTTGCGTCCGAATTTATCTTCGAATAAAATTATCACTTGTTTGTGTCCAAATTTATCTTCGAAAGAAATTATCACTTATTAGTGTACATTTTTATCTTTGAATGAAATTATCACTTATTAGTGTACGTACTTAAGTTAAACTCAATATTATTCTGAAATAGTGTATCAGACATTGAAAGAATCCAAAACAATGCACCCATTAACAGTAAAACCAGTCACCTAAACCTGTGGTAGTACAGTGGTTTGCAGGAGAAATGACCTTTACCCTACTTTTATCTTTCTCTTTGACTGCTTTGTTTTGGTGCCAGAACAACTGGCTAAATTTCAAACTTTCAGAGCATATAATTTTACTGTCTGACTTTTTGCCGTAGGATGAGATCTAAACCTGTCAGGATGAGATCTATACCTGTTGGCACTATCCTATTTTCAGCAAGTGTACCAGCCACATCAACAGGTGAGCAAGGTAAGTAGACATTTATGAATCATTGTGAACATATAAAACATATGCCTTGCCTAGAATTAAACAATACCTAAACATCTCCTTTCAGAATTAGCTGGGCAGACTTTTTTGTTTATATGGATAAAATTGAAAAAACAGAATAATTAAAAAGAGTGTCAAATATAATCTTTTATAAAGGCTGGTTTATCACCTGATAATGTCAACATTTTCATTATAATAACGTTAAGATCAATCTTTTCTTCCTGTATTCTTTTTTCATATCTGTTTTCTGTTCTCCCCCCCGCCCTGTAACAATTGGCCTTTGCAATCCTATTGATTGCCATGTTACTCAGTAATATATAATACATCATTACTGCTCTTCTAAACAGATAGATATTTACAAAATTGGCAACTTCCTTCTATATACAAAAATATTTTTTTAACACATTTCATGGAAAGAAACCACACTCTGCTTACACTTTTTTAAATATTAACAGCAACAATGATATAATCAACACTATTGTTTAACAAAGAGCACAATAATTTAAAGATCATAATTTACATAACATATATCATAATACTGCACGTTTGTAACACCAATTTTCATTGGATATTTGTGATGTTTAAATATTCTATTTACAAAGCTGCAGCATGTGTAGGAGTAAAGATTATTTATTCTCTTTTTTATGAAGCAAAGAAAGCTTATGTGCAGTATTATAAAGTTATAGTTTTTTACAAAAAAAAGAAACTATTAGCAGGTTATATGGTTAGAACAATCAGCTGTGTGCTATATAACACTGGCCTATCAGCTGTTTATAGTTCACCATATAACCTGCACAAAAATATCTTGTATAACTAACAGTGTAATAAATGTAATATAAAACAGGAAAAAATATGACACAAAATAGACTCCTTAACTACTGGTAACATTCTGTACATTAACACATTGTCAATTAAATGCAAATGTGGACTACTTAATTTTTTTTCCACCCTGCAAATATGATTCGTGGTCAGAATGAAAAATACAGGTTCTGTCCAGTCATCAACAGCATGGTAAAATTTTATGTCATTTTGGCCTAGAGCTTAAAGATATACATAGAAGCAGTGAGATATATTTAATATTTCTCATCTCATTTTTTTCTGAAACTATTTCAAATGTATAACAACAGAATATTTCATTAAAAAAAATATCTCCAAATATGTTACATGATCTCCCCTATAATCTCAGAACAACATATCATTTCATAGACAGTACAAAAATTTAAAGAAAAAAATGTTATATAACTTGCATTATCCAATATAACAATAGAAAATTTACAATGGCCTGCCATTTAAAAATAAGGGAGAACTGTTACATCATTAATAAATAACATGTACACTTACAGTATTGAGCTGTGTTTCATAGAAAGTCCCAAGTGTATCCCAAGTCTTAAGACATAAAACCAATTTAAGGACTAACTTAAGACCCTTTTCCTCTAAATTTTTATCCTCATATTAGTACTGTAGACTGTAAGAAAAAAACTGAGAAAAGTTAAGAAATACAATGATAGACCCTTTTATTTGCAATGTATGACCCTTTCATTTGTCCATCAGCATTGCTTTTCAGAAATTAAAAGACCCATACCATAGAGGTCATAAATAAGGATATTTTCTTTGAAATGTTAAATTGTATCCGTTTATACTTAAGACTGACTTCAGACTTAGGACTTTCTATGAAACACAATTCAGATAATTGAAGTTGGAAATCAGATCTTTTGACATTAATACTTGAAAATGGATTGAGTATCTGGCATACAACATACAGTAAACTTCACTTGCAATGATATTTAGGGGACAGATATAACAATATTACTACATCAGAAATTTGTAACAACCAAATGACAAATTCTGAGTACCGGAGAAGAAAGTCAATTTGAAGTCTCTGTTACTGGCATGTCATATTTGTTTGTAAGCTGAGCTTGAACAAGATGGTTCATAATAAGATTGGGTTTATCATACCTTTTTGCTTACTTGCACAGTTTTTGGCAATATCCTTTATTTACCTGTGTACGAAAATCACTAAATGAATTGAATTTATTACCACTTAATTATTTTTTGTTCTCAAATCAAAATTTCTTTTTTCTATATGTTCACTGGAAACTGGCTAACATTATATGTTCACCTTAAACTTATTTAGCGATTACAATAAGAAGAGAAAATATATATATATTTTAAAAAAACAAAAAAAAATTATGCCTTCATTTCGAAGTCTTATATACCATACAACACATTACAAATACTGTTAATCCCTGGCAAGAGTATCTCTTTAATATATGTGTAGGAGTTAATAATCTTGACATATCAATGCAATATTGACATAGATGGAGCTTCACAACAGAAGCTAGCCACGATCACCGCAGACACATTAATATAACTTCATTATCAATACAAGTGAAATTTACTATATTATCATTTAAGAATAATCCTTCAGAATTTTATAATCTTGTTTTCTTGTACAAATTTTCTATCCTCAAGAAAATACACTAACAAGTGCACAACATCAAAGAAACAGACAATAAATATAAAAAGAACTAGCTTGTCCAGTAGTTAATGTGTATGTAATCTAGATAAAGTTCATTCTAGATAAAGTTCAGCTGATTTTAATCTTAAATTTTTCAGCAGTTTATAAAGTAGAAACAAACACAGTGAGGTGATTATGTAATAAATGTTTATCTGCTAGTGTGTGTGACCAGACTCAATACATTTACTATTGTAGGCTTTTGTAACTATATTGCTTTATGAAATCACATAAACTTAAAATAGACTGATCTAAATTCAAAGCCGGGCAATTCCATTACACAAATAATTAGACAAGTTAAGTATTTTAATAATCATCTTGAAATTATTAGAAAGTTGAAAACTGGCACAGTTGCACAATACTTCAGAGATCAGGATCAGATTTTTGGACCTACAAATTGACAGATAACACTTCTTATACAAGATTGTCAAAATATATAAAATATACTTCAATTTGATAAATATCATTGAATTATGTAAATTGAGCCGCGTCATGACAAAACCTACATAGTGCGTTTGCGACCAGTAATGGATCCAAACCAGCCTGTGCATCCGCGCAGTCTGATCAGGATCCATGCTGTTCACTTACCAACTCTATTACAAATTGAGAAACTGATAGCGAACAGCATGGATCCTGATCAGACTGCGCAGATGGGCAGGCTGGTCTGGATCTATGCTAGTCGCAAACGCACTATGTTGGTTTTGTCGTGACGCAGCTCAAATAACTTGACAAGTTTAATAATAAATTTCTGAAATATTACAGTAAATTATTCTTGATATTTTTACTTCTTTCACAGAGGAATGATGTAATGTAATTTCATCCTACTACAATTATATTTTGATACAGGGTTCAGTATATAACTATATGGAAATTACAAAAAAAATATGTTCCATCTTTTGTGAAAATGATCTTAAAAGTGCATTATTTCATGATATTGAGGGTGAAAAAATAACTTGTAAACAAATTATGCCTCAACATAAACAAATGTCCTGCTTCGACCATGCCTTCATGTAATGTCATAAATAACAGTAAAATTATATTACATCAATTAAAAAAGAACAAACAAAAATCAACAAAAACCAGCATGATACAAATACAGAGTTTGTTTTACTTATTGGTTCAAATTATACCTTGAATGTGAACACCAATTATAACAACTTCACAAGTGGTTACACCATTTATGATAGTATTACATCTGGTGTTCACTATGTGAGATATATCTGTATCTTACAATAAAATAACAAGTTTATAAGTGACAGTTATAAGTAGCACTAGCTCACCACAACAAGATGTAACAAGACCTGTTATATCTGTACAAAATTCCTCCGTTAAAAATTATTTTCAATTTACCTGAACACTTTGTACTCTTGGATGGGCATAATGCCTTGGATGGGCATAATGTCACTTTAATCAAAATAAATGTTTTATAAATGTAACTTAGCTTCCTTTAAAGGCACATTCAGCCTAAAAATAATGATTCTTTCTACAGAAGCTGCTAACACATGATTTATAATGCTGTAATAATGGATTAATAACATGTGAGATGCTTGTTGCCTGAAGAAATTAGCACTGAATGTAAAATAATAATTATTATGTGATAAAGATAGCAAAATGTAAAGAAAAAGGTATATCCACTTCTATACAAAATACATAATCACTGAAACTACTTATTACCAATACAAACAAGAGCTGTCGGTAGGACAGCAACGCTCGACTATTCTTAGTGCTTGATAGTAAAAAAAAATGCTTGATACAGTTACCTCCTCCTGTTTACAGGTTGGGGTCATGATGGTGAACAAGTGTGCAAAGTTTCAAAGCCATATGTCAATGGACTTTGAAAATATTTGAACTATTACAAAAACTTTAACGTAAATTCTAAGTCGAAAAAGGGGCATAATTCTGTCAAAATGCTTGATAGAGTTACCTCCTCCTGTCTACAGGTTGGGGTCATGATGGTGAACAAGTGTGCAAAGTTTCAAAGCCATATGTCAATGGACTTTGAAAATATTTTAACTATTACAAAAACTTTAACGTAAATTCTAAGTCGAAAAAGGGGCATAATTCTGTCAAAATGCTTGATACAGTTACCTCCTCCTGTCTACAGGTTGGGGTCATGATGGTGAACAAGTGTGCAAAGTTTCAAAGCCATATGTCAATAGACTTTGAAAATATTTGAACTATTACAAAAACTTTAACATAAGTGGTTACGCCGACGCGGACGCTCGGGTGACTACAATAGCTCTACTTATTCTTATCGAATAGTCGAGCTATAAAAGAGGCAAAAAAGAAATGGCTCAGTAATATGAACAATGAGTAAAATTTCGGAAACCATAACAGTACATAAAAAGAATAACCTTTTAAAATATATATAAAAAAACTAACATTTTTAGGCTTAATGGGCCTTTAAGAAAGCTAGGAAGATTCATACCCACATAACATTGTGAAAAGAAACATTGACATCATACCAGTCACATTAACATAATGAGACACGTATAACTTGCTCTCCATATAGCTGCTATCAACAAAACTATATAATACTAGGGGCACTACATGGAGCCTTCCCTTAACCTGATGGAATGGTAACTGATTAGTCTTTGCCACCAGTGTAAAGCCAGACTAGTTTGCACATCTATACAGTCTGACACGGCTCTACTCTGTTGGCTGAATAATTTTTATCCTTCATCAGAATTTTTAATATTCCTAAAATTGATATTGGACAGTTCCAAAAATGGAATCTGGACAAGTCCATTTTAGAAATACAGCAGAGTAAGGGTTAAACCCAAAATGTTCCTACATGACCCTAAACAGTATCAGTATCAAATTAAAATCCAACAAAACAAAACAAACAAAATGTAGTCCATTAAAATTATAACAGAACAATTTTTTCCCCATAATTTTTTACTCCTATAAATATTTTTAATAGAAATTATTAACAACTGCACACAAGATATACCTTATCTGCTAACAAAACATATATACACCCCAAATTATTCTTTAGTTTAAATTTTAAAAAAAAAAACAAAATAATTTCCATTTATCAAGATCATTTGTTGGTATCCTAATACAGTTTTTTAGGAAAAAATTCAGAACATAAAATTGGACATAATTATCATACAATTATTTCTAAAATAAGATGACAATTAGCTAGAAAACTGATGAAAACTACTTCTTTACCTTGAAGAGAGGATGACAAAAATAATGTAAGTAAAAGTATTCTATGCAGCCATGGCAAGCATGTATAAATTGTTTGTATTCATCATTGCACCATGTATACGAGAAGTCCAGCACAGTTCAAACTAATGGTATCAGCACTAAATAAAAATGAACACTGCTAGCAACGTACAAGAAAAAGATTGACTGGAGTCACATCAATATTATATGGCCACCTAAAAATCAGAGATTTACTGGGTGGGTACATTTGAACAAAATTTTCTGTTCTGTTTTGTTTGGTTCTGTGGATCATTTCTTGTGTTTACTTGAATGGTGTCCACCATGGCTGGCATGGTTATTGTGACCACTTTGACCTGGTGTCTCTTTTACTGTTCCAATATTTTGATATATTTGTCCTGCATCTTGTGGAAGCCTGAAAAAAAATCAAATGATTAGAAGTGATGATTTATTCAGTAGAAACAAGAGGGCATTTTGGTTATCTAGAATTAATATTGTATTGAATTATTATTGCTCATGTGTAACTTGAACATCTTTTACATATCAAAATGACAATTAAAATACACAACAGGTGTTATATGTCTCTTAAGTTTAGAAAATAATTTGAGATTTTTTTACTCTATTTTTAGCATTAATCTAAATAAGGACCAAGTAGAATCATCTTTCAACAATCTAGAATATGGTATAACTAAAGACACTTCAAACCAAGTTTAGTTCAGTAAAGACCCATTCACTGCTTCAGAAGAAGAACAATGGATAAAGACTGGTCAGCAGTCTATGTATAATGAGGGTGCAACCCCCCTCTCAGGCACTGAGAGTTGGGAACCTAGACATGTCACCAGTCATGCTCTTAAATAGTATTTATTATCTAAAGTGGTGACCTTATGGATTTTAATTTCATAATTTACAGTGTGTTTCCAAACAATGCTGTATTTTATAACATGCTATCAGTAGTTTATAGAAATATATCAGTGAAGTAAAGAACTGATAATTCACTGTATAAATCAGTGAAATTATCAATTTGATAATTTTCACTGTTTTGAATTTAAGCCCGTTACATTATTTCAGTGAAATACCAGCATGAACTGTACTGGAAACTTACTGACGTAACGTCATATATGATGTCACATTGTATTATTATTTGGCGCGCTTTTCATTAAGTATTAGGATTATACGTCTTTTATGTTTAGTTTAGAGTAAGATCGAAATATATTTCACCTCATGAACACCAAAAGTTCATATTTCACTCGTGGCTGCGCCACTCATGAAATATACCTTTTGGTGCTCACTCGGTGAAATATATTCCAATCTTACACTGAACTAAACAAATATCCTCTATATATTTCTTCGTTAAATGCTTAAAGTGCTGAGCTTGTCAGCAAGGTAAAAAAGGAAAAACAATGCTTACTTGGGCAGATTTTAATGCTTAAAGTGCTGAACTAGTCAGCAGGGTAAAAAAGGAAGAACAATGCTTACTTCGGCAGATCTTTAGCAGCTCTTTTTGTTGTGTGTGGTGGTTCTGCAATCTGGGGTTGATGAACTGGAGGTGGAAAGCCACGTGTTAGGGAGTTTCTATTGTCTATACTGTGTGCGTATCGTATATTTGTATACTCCCTACCTGCTACTTGACTTTGCTGAAAAACAAATTTGATCAATAGTGATACATGTATGTTAGAAGAATGCTTAAAATAAATATTATACAAAGTTTATAATTCAATACTAAACAAAACAGCACTAAAATTTTAATCATGACAAGAGCCATGTCAACATGGCCATCCCCCGCCGAATGTGTTTGCTCATTGGAAGAATGTATATGTAGAAAGCAGAATAATTCCATTTTTAAGAGGTCTTTTTGGTAATGAAAACTGATGGCTATAGTAAATACAGATTTGAAACCTATGTGAATACTGATGGCTGAAAATAACACAAAGGGCAATAACTGAAAAAATAATGCAGGGTAGAGTTATCATTCTTGTGCACTGCACTCCTCCTCAATGAGATCAATCTACCTATGAAGTTTCAAGTTGATACCTCAAATACTTTTTGAGACAAGCTCTGGACAAAATAGCATGAAAAAGAACAAAGGGCAATAACTCAAAATTGTATAGGGAAGAGTTATCATTCTTGCGCACAACATTCCTCCTCAATAACATCTATCCACCTATGACATTTCATGTTGATATGTCAAACACTTTTTGAGTTATGCTTCACTTAGGTGAAAAATTAAGTAAGAAAAATAACAAAGGGCAATAACTCAAAAATTATGAAAGGTAGAGTTATCATTTTTGTGCACTGCACACCTCCTGAGTGAGATCTATGCACCTATGAAGTTTCATGTTGAAATCTCATATGCTTTTGGAGTTATGCTCTGGACAAAAATCAATTTTGGAAAATAACAAAGGGCAATAACTCAAAAATTATGCAGGGTAGAGTTATCATTCTTGTGCACTGCACTCCTCCTCAATGAGGTCTATCCACCTATGAAGTTTCAAGTTGATTAAATGATAACTCAAATACTTTTAGAAATATGCTCCGGACAAAAATGTCGGACGGAAGGACGGACGGAAAGTCGGACGGACAGACGGAGACTATTTCTATATCCCCGGCCGCCTTTTCGGCGGATAAAAAGACATAAAGGACAGAAATCTAGTGCTTATGAAATAAACATACATTTCTAGGTTAATTAAAATCTTGGGTTTGGTAAATATCTTCAACAACTGTACAAAGTTTTTCTTAAAAAAAAAAAATGAATTTTAGTTACTTTTCAAGTCTGTAAAATCTTGTAAGTCATCTAGTTCTTTCATATGACACAAAATTTCAAGCATTATACAATATGTATACAACAAACGATTTTCTGATAATATTTCAAGTAATAATTACTGTACCTGTTCAGCTTCTATCCTTCTTTTCTCTGTTTCTATATACTGTTGTACAGCGAAGTAGACAAACTTGTACTGTGCCTCGGTCTGAACTAAACCTGACCTTTGTGACCTCACCATCTGTATGGTCTTCTGTATATCTATCTCGCAGTCCATACCTAACGAAATAAATATATCATGCAATATGACTTACAGTTATGTCAAATCTAAGTTTTTTATACATTAAATCAGTTTGTTAAAGGAACTCCACAGAGACTCAAAAGTCTGAAATTAGAAAAATTTGATTTTTTTACATAGATCAACAGGGACACGTAAGACAGTAAGATATGCAAAAGATAATTAATAATTTACTCAGAAAAAATATTAAAATTGTATTTTTAACTTTTCTTGGTCTGATTTTGAGTGAAAAAGCCTTGTAACGCATTGTAATGCTTTTCAATTTAGGGTAATTTTTCATGATAAGAATTATTATTCTGGAAAAACAAAGTGATCAAATGATCTAAAAAAAATTACGCAAGTTTACTTATGAAGACCTTCTTTGAATGGAATATTAATCTCCAAAAAAATATATTTCCTATTCCGTCAGGACAAAAAACCTCAATGGAGCCCTTTAATGTCTAATTTAAGCATTGTTGGGAATTATGAAGTTTTAATTTGAAATCAGCTAATTGGTTTAGGAGTAGTTATTGTTTTACATGTTTTTATGCCATTTTTTGAAGGACCTATGGCACAAGATAAGCACAGAGTGATCACAAAAGTTCACCCTTGAGTATATCCCTTGTGATTAATATGCTACACTGGATCACAGAAGTTTTCAAACAAAACTAATTTGTAAAGTTTATTTTTAAATACAACTACGGCAATTTGAACGATTACAATTAAGAGCATTTTATCACACATTTGAACAAATACAAAGGCTGTTCGAACACACAGCTGTGTAATAAACTCCTGTCAAACAATCCAAGGACTTTGACTTATTTATGGTAAATTGTACTCGATTTATTCTAACGGACCACGAGTAAACTTTGACACTTCGAAAACATCGACACAGAAAATATTGACTCATATATAGGATTTTATAAGGAATATGTAAGGGAAAAATTCAGGACTTTCATCGGAACATCAAGATAATCGACTAACCAATTTTTGTCTTATGGAAGTACTAATGTATTTATTTATGAATTACTATCAATTACATATTTATCTCCAGTCTACTCAGTTTTATGTAAAAAACTTGCCTTGTTGTATGTTTGGAAAGGTCTATAGTAAATAAATGTAAGGGATTTTAATCTTAAAATGATAACAAGAGCTGTCGGTAGGACAGCAACGCTCGACTATTCTTCGTGCTTGATAGTAAAAAAAATGCCTGATACAGTTACCTCCTCCTGTTTACAGGTTGGGGTCATGATGGTGAACAAGTGTGCAAAGTTTCAAAGCCATATATCAATGGACTTTGAAAATATTTGAACTATTACAAAAACTTTAACGTAAAATTCTAAAGTCGAAAAAGGGGGCATAATTCTGTCAAAATGCTTAATAGAGTTACCTCCTCCTGTCTACAGGTTGGGTCATGATGGTGAACCCAGTGTGCAAAGTTTCAAAGCCATATGTCTATGGACTTTGAAAATATTTGAACTATTACAAAAAACTTTAACGTAAATTCTAAGTCGAAAAAGGGGCATAATTCTGTCAAAATGCTTAATAGAGTTACCTCCTCCTGTCTACAGGTTGGGGTCATGATGGTGAACAAGTGTGCAAAGTTTCAAAGCCATATGTCTATGGACTTTGAAAATATTTGAACTATTACAAAAAACTTTTAACGTAAATTCTAAGTCGAAAAAGGGGCATAATTCTGTCAAAATGCTTAATAGAGTTACCTCCTCCTGTCTACAGGTTGGGGTCATGATGGTGAACAAGTTGTGGCAAAGTGTCAAAGCCATATGTCTATGGACTTTGAAAATATTTGAAACTATTACAAAAACTTTTAACGTAAATTCTAAAGTCGAAAAAAGGGGCATAATTCTGTCAAAATGCTTGATAGAGTTACCTCCTCCTGTTTACAGGTTGAGGTCATGATGGTGAACAAGTGTGCAAAGTTTCAAAGCCATATGTCAATGGACTTTGAAAATATTTGAACTATTACAAAAACTTTAACATAAGTGGTTACACCGACGCCGACGCTCGGCGTGACTGCAATAGCTCTACTTATTCTTATCGAATAGTCGAGCAAAAAATTAAAAAGGTTAATTGAAATGTTTAATAAAAACTTTACCCCCTTTAAAAAATAGGTGGAACATAAAAATCTTTAATGTTACCTTTAGCATTAAAGGAAAAAAACTTTTTATATTAATTTTTTATCCCACATTTAAGTTTTTCCCAAATAAAAGGGGTTCCCTTTTGGAATTTACCAAAATTAAAAAAGTACCCCCAATGAAATAGATTTTTAACAACCATAAGTCTTAAACCTAAAAATTAAAAGTCATACCCTTCAAAAATAAATGCCCCTGTTTTCCCTATACCGTCATTTTTCACAAAAAAAAAAATAAATACATTTTTAAAATTTTTTTCTTTTTACATGTCTTTTCCCAGTTTTTTAAAAAAAAAAAAAACCTTTTCCTTTTTAATTCCATAATAAAATATAAAAGGGGCAACGATTTAACCGGCTAACCAAGTCTCAATGGAAGGTACAAATTTTAAAGTTAAAAAAATAAATGGTCCAATTACTGGGAAAATATAAAATTTTTTTTTTTTTTCTTCAATTTAGAAAGATTCCCTTACCCAAATTTTCTCAAAAATTTCCCAGATGTAATGTATCATAAATTAAACCCCGGGTTTAATTGCAATTTAAAATCACCCTTGCGGGGGTTTTGGGGCGTAAAAAAAATTGTAAAGTTACCATTTTGCCCTTTTGCATGGGATGAAACCCCATTTTGTTGCTTACGCCCACTCGAGGGGAACTGGGATCTCTTTGATTTTTAAAATTTTACCTTCAATTTTTGAAAATTAAAACTTTTGTAAAATAAAAGGTTTTTGTTGTTTTAATATTTTTACGAAATTTTTAAAAACAAAGGCCAAAAGGCCCCTGAGTCGCTCACAGAAACAACTGTTTTTCCAGAGTTGGGAAAATTTATCCTTTTAAATTTTTCTTTAATTTGAGCATAAAAATGTTTAACAAAAAATTTTTAAAAAAAATGCCTTTTCCCTGGGGCTTTTAAAGCTGTTTAAACAGTGCAAAAATTTTTAAATAAACCCCAAACTTGTTAAAAGGGAAACCCTTAAAAATTGTAAAAAATTTTTGGTTATCTTTTAAAAATTATTTAAATTAAGGAAAAATTTTTAAAATTTTCAAAATTTTTGGCTTAAGGGGCCCGTTTAAAAAGGGGGGAAAAAATTCAAATTTTAAATATGAAAATTGTTTAAAAGCTTAAAATTTTTAAGAAATTTGTTTAAAAGGGAAAAAAGTTTGGGATAAAAAATCCAAATAAAATTTAGTTTGAAAAATGGGACTTTTAAAGGTTTTCAAATTTTTCACAAATAAAAATTAAAAAAAAAATTGTTTAACAGCTCCCCAAGAATGCACAAAACAAAAATTTGGTGATAAATTATCAAATTTTCTATAGAAGAGGATGTTTAAAGGTTTTCTATTTTTTTAGCTCTAGAGACCCCTAATCGGGGCCAATCATGATCAAACTTGATAAGATAAAAGACTTACCCAAGAATGCTACAGACAAAGTTTGGTGATCATCAATCAATTAGTTGTAAGAAAATAGACGTTTTAAAAAGGGTTTTCTATTTATTAGCCCTTGAGGCCCCTAAAAGGTTGCCAATCAGATTTAATATGGAGCAAATTTGATAAAACACTACCCAAGAATGCTTTTAAGGGACCAAAGTTTTGGTGATTCAATCCAATCCAATGAGTGCTCTAGATTTATAGATGTTTAAAGGTATTTCTATTTTTAGCTTTAACAGCCCCTAAAAGGGGCCTCAATCAAATAAATATGAGCAACTTGATAAAAGTCTACCCTAGAATGATAGAATACAAAGTTTGGTGATCACCCCCCTTTAGGTTCTTTAGAAAAGTTGTTAAAGGTTTTTTTTTTTTAAGACCCTAGGGGACCTTTTAAAGGGGGGCCAAATCAAATTATGAGCAATTTTGGGATAAAAGATTTCCCAAAAAATGCTAAGCCCGGTTTGGTAAATCATCCATCAATTAGTTTTTGTAGTGGGAAAATTTTTAAAAGGGTTTTTTTTTTACTCTGCCCCTGAAGGGGCCCAAATTTAAAATGACATGAACAAATTCAAGTGTGACTGTAAAAGGTGTTTATCATACCAGTAATTTGAAGTAAAATTTCCCCCCCCCACGGTTTTCAGAAAAAGAAAAAAAATTTTGACGCCTGCCCCAAATGGAGGGCCGGAAAATTTTTGATAACTAATAGCTTCCTGACCCTTGGGCTCTGGTGACTAAAAAAAAACC